ATATCTTCGAGTTTTATTTTTAAAAGTATTGAGGAAACCTCCTTGGTTTTATTTTCTACCCTTCAATAAATAATACTCGTTATTTCTGAGTGTTTACTCAGGATGAGTTTGTTTAAATATAAAATCACTCATCCGGTCACACTAGTGGTCGAGGTTAACTCTAAGGTGGCTGTAACTCCAGACACCATCACCCTGAGTTGGAGCGAAAACAAATAAAAACATGCAAAAGCCAGCTGGACCTTCATCATCATCATCACTTTAATCCAATATGGGGACCATAGAGCTTAGCCTCAGACCTGCCTCTGTAGAAACAGGTGGCTTGACCTGCATAGCAACAGTAACCAAGGATGGTGTGGGTTGAGAATGCCATCGCCTCAGTTATGTTTGTTGTTTGTCTTTATGAATGCACTTGGTGCTGCTTTTCCATTCTCGGGAATCTCATAAATAATGAATTTAGATTTCTGTGACAGGGTCTGATTAAATAAGGGGTTAAATAAAAATCTGACGCAGCCTGGCTTCGGCCTCAGCGATGCAAAAACAATCATGGAAAATATGAAGCCAGCTGCCAGGCAGAGGATCTCCTCACAACAAACCCAAACACATAAACTCCCCCAGTCTGTCCAGCTTGATTTGCTTTTCCAGAGAAGATCAGAGCTCATATCCCATCACCCCTGCTGCCCTTAATTACACCTGACGCAGCTATCATGTGGAGTGTTGGAGAACTGAAATCCTAAATCGGCATCAGAAAGGCAAACCCAGAGCAGGTACTTGTTTGCACTTCTGCTTTGGAGGTCAGATGTGACATTTTAATGAAAGAAAATAAGCTGTGGATAACAAAGACCCAGCTGTGTAAATTCCTCACCAGACACAAGCACGGTGATGTTTGATTTAATTAGTGTTTGTTTTAAGCTAGGCCTGGCCGCCCTGGTGCAGTTAAAATGGGCTTTGCCTAAGCTCCTCTAGAGTAGGGTTGTCACAATACTAAAATTTCAAACTCGATTCGATACTTGGAAGGAAAAAAATCTCGATACTCGATTTCGATACTATTTAAAACACCCATTTATCGAACAAGTTTATTCAAAAAATAACATTCCTCAATTTATATTGCAAAAATTAAATGTTAAGAATTAAGTGTATAAAGTGCTTAAACCTTTCAAGTATCAGCATTTTTTAAAACGTGCATACAAGAACTGGCGAAAGTTAACACTTTAAATCATGAATTGTCTCACTATATATACACTATTTGCAGAGTGATGTTTTGCTGCTTAAACTCTGTTTAAGGTGCATTTTTGTCATAAGATGTAATGCCATATGTTTTGTTCTCTACTTTTGAACAACTCTTGTTGGTCAATAAAGGGAGAAAACGAATTTCTCCACAGTAGGACAAAGGTACATCTACCGGTAATCTTAATAAAAACAGGTTGGCGCACGGCAGTGACGTCATTAAAAGCGCCGGTTAGATTAGCCGCGGCTAGTCTGTTCACGCCTAGAAATCCCAGACCCGCTCCAAACGAACAGGGGAATCACGTTAATGATTCCTAACAAAACCTTTCGACATGGAGATGTTTTGGTGCAGATAATGTCTTATTTCGAGGCTGCACCATGGGTGCCCGTCCGCACCCGTTATATGGATATACACTGACGGCGATTCGCCAATGGATCTAAATACCCCGGGGAATCCAAGTAGCACCTAAGTTGTCAGCGTGAGTAAACAAACGTACTGCATGCTAGAAATTAAGTCCGGGTTGCAATAAACGGGAGTTTTCCTTTAAGCACATAAGCGTGAATATACAACTACACGTCGGACTTGGTATGCTAATTAAGTTGGGCTGTGAAGCGCCTCCCAAATTCGCTGTTTATGTTTTTGTTTATTTATTTGGCAGACAAAACTTGGATCGGAGACAACTCGCGTGGGAAATTGCAATGTAGCCATGCGTCTTCTTCTGTTTGTCTGGGAGGCGGAGGCGGCTTTACGGCATCTGGCTGTCGTGCGTGTCGGTGTACTTGAAGAAGGCTGTGTATAATAGTCCATAATATCGATACCACAGGGATGGAATATCTAATTTAGATACCAATTTTAGTAACGATTTATATCTAGGTATCGATTTTTTTGACAACACTACTCTAGAGCATGCAGTGGATGTTTCCACAGCCATTTCTGCACATCAGTCCTCACTGTGTTCCCCGCAGCTCAAGTCCTCACACGGTTTAGGTTTTCAGACCTGTGCGCTTGTGAACACCAGGTCTGTTTGGCTGCAGGGGCTTGATGCAGATAGAGTTGTTGGAGCTTCAAGTGTGTCCCAAGTTACGACACGAGTTTATCACGCTACAGTTGGAGGAGCTCAGTAGTGGCTAGGCTTCATGTGCTGTGCCAGAGGAGTGTTGGGTGGCTCCCAGTGTGTGGCAAAGGGCTGTTCTGTGTCAGAGGTGAGCCAAGTGAATAGGCTGAGGGCTCTCCCTCCCAGTTCACAGCTGGGGGGGAGAATTTTCTCCTGTGAGGAGCAGTGAGGCAGAGTGCTTCCGTCTCAGCAAGCTGGAGGCTACAGGCTTTTGTCTCTGCTTCACTGCCTTCGTGGAGCCCCGAGAGTCCTGGCAACCAGGTCTGTCTAGTGTGGGGGCAGCACAAAGACTTGTGCTCCTCCGTTGACGTGCAACATCATGGCTCACAGTGGGAGATGAACGCAAATGGGCCATTTTAGGAAGGGGTAATTCAAGATAAAGCAGTAAGGAGATGTCCTCTTTGATGCTATGACTCCACATTTTAAATCAAGCTCTGGCCTGAACAGCCTCGGTTTGAAAAAATAAGCAAATCTACTAAAAGTGTGCCCATATACCTTCTGCCATCGGCTCCTTCTCCACACCGTATTCAAAAAGGAAACAGATATAATTATGTGCTGGTGAAAACGGACCCGTGACATGCAGCAGGTTGGAGGAATAAGAGCTTGTTTAGCGTCCGATCGAGCTGCACAAAGTTAAGCTGGGTACAGCGGGGGTAGAAGGGGCCGGGAGATGAAGAAAAACTCTCTAGGTGATCTGCAGGGCCATTCTGCTGTGGGTGGTGAAATGTGTGCTTGTAAATAACCACAACTTTAAATGGACAGTCATGTAAAAGGATTTAAAATAATGTTGCATGCATAGCTCTGAAACTGGGAAGATTGGAGTTACGGCAAGATGACTTTTGGCCTGTCTGTAACCAGTCCTGCTGGGTTCCATCTGGACTCTTTTGCTGGTGTCGGTTTATAAAATGTTGATGAACAGGGCTACTGCTAAACCCCCAAGCTGTGCTGAGCTTTCAAACGAGGTGGACATAACTGATCAGGAGTTCGAGGAGGTAGCATGAATGCACAAGCGAATTCTGGTCCACCTTAAAATTTAGGTCTTAGAGTGCTTTGTGTGATCAGAATGCAGGAAGTGGGATACAAAGCAGGGCATTGGGCTGGTTTCCACTATCAGAACTCCTTCTCTGGACCTTCACAGAATGTGTGTGTCGGCATTTCATTGGGCCAGCCAGTAAGGACCACTTTCTGGGTCATTGCAGTACAAACCGACCTTGGGGTTTGTACTCAGAAATGGCCCGACAGAGTCGCTGGGTGGGACTCGGAATGAACCCTTGCTGACTGGTTTTAGCTCAGTGGGAAATTCTATCAGCAGATGTCGCCAAACAGCCGGCTTTATTTCGTTTCATTTACTGTATTTCTAAAGTGCTTTCACATGTACCAGGAAACACTGATGCACTAAAAAACCAATAAAAACTTTAGTAAAAGCAATAAAAAATACACTTATAAATAAATAAAGCATGCAATACAACAACAGCCTGTGAATTTGAAGGCGGTGCAAGGAAATACATCTTCAGACGAGATTTAAAACTCTGCCTTCCTAACATCCAGAGGGAGCTCGTTCCATATTCTTGGCGCCAACAGAGTGGGTACTGGTGCTATTCTTCAACCACGCACCGCTCGACATGCAATGACCTGCAGAACGGAGGGAACTTGCTGTTTCATATTTCTGCCTACGGTCTAGTGCCCGACGGGAAGCCAACCAAGCAAGTAGATGTGTTCATGTTTCCTGGTCCCGCCGCTGAACCTGGCTGCCAATGTCAGAACCAAATGCAAACTTGTGGTCCGAGGCGGTCCAGCATAGAAGGCTTTAGTAAAACTGGAAGTTTAATGGTGAAGTAAAATGGAAGAAAGCTCTCAGTCATCGCTGCCTTCGCTGTGTGTAACAACATACCATAGCTGCTATTCTCTGCTGCTGTGGGTGCCTTGTTGTGCTGATCAGTGACATCAATCACCGCTGAAACGATTGCGATATGTTGATGTCCTAGCAAAGTCCTCAAAGAGCTGATTTTGTATGGAAACGCAACGGCTGAGAGGACCGAGCTACCGCATTTCCCTGTCACCTTCCACTCTCCCAGAATTGTCCCAGAATTCATGGAAACAGGCTTATTGTGGGGAGCCCACGATTCTAGTGAATCTTACAGTATTTGGATACAACAGAATATTGCAACCCCATCAAATCATGTCACTTGTGGTGCAGTCTACTAGACAATCAGATGTGTAAACAACCTACATCCTCCTCTTTTGGTTCTTGGACTTTAGAGGCATTGTACACAGAGGATCCATATAGCTCAAGCACATTTAATTGGCCTCACCTCTTCGGCATACCGCAGCCTTTTGAAATAAATCTCCTCAGGTTAATGCCCTGTGTCCCCCCACCATCGAGGTCAAGTTTATCCCCGGCTGAGAAATTACTGAGCTAAAAGAGTAATCCTTCATGCAGCCACAGCTCTAATGATCTTGATTAATTTAAGAGAGACTCTTCCTAATTAGGGGTGAATTCAACTTGGCCCAACTGTGACCCTGTTAAGTAAAATGTCGTGGCAGTAACGAGACAGAACAGAGCGGCTGGGTTTGTGTGGACACTACGGCTCATGAGTGATTTAAATTAAAACTGTTACTGAACGTTTCAGTCACATAAATCTGTGGTGTGTTTCCTCTCAGGTTAACGGTAAGGATCTGTCAAAGGCCACCCATGAACAGGCTGTGGAGGCGTTCCGCACCGCCAAGGACCCCATCGTGGTCCAGGTTCTGCGTCGGGCCCCGCATCCCAAACTGGTCAGCCCCGTGGCAGACACCCAGGTGTCAGACATCAGCACTCAGACCGACATCACTCTCCAGCACATCATGGCCCTGGCCAAGCTGCCTCCCACCTCACCACCGATGACGGAGCTAGAGGAGTTTCTGCTGCCGGAGGAGTGAGTACCAGCTGGCCTCGTGGGGATCAAAAGCACTCTGTTTCAGAATAAGATAAAATATTAATTTTTTCTTATGTTAGAAGGAGCATGATAATTATGTTGTTTAGTTTATAATTGTCTGGAATTGTTTATTTTTATTTTTTTGAGGTCATTAATCCTTCCTGCATGGAGGAGGAAGTTGATGTTAAAATGGTGGACGAAACCTGATCAGGACCAATCAGAGCATACTTGGATTTTCAGAGGAGTCAACAAATATTATTACTTAGAAGTCCAGAAGCAACAAAGTCAGGCCACCATCTGTCTGTGGTTTCGTAGCATCCTTTAACGCCCTCAAACGAATGTAGACTGCACTGATATTCACTCTGGTTTTAGCTTTGGCCTCGCCTCCAAAGACATTACTCTCATACTTTTGCGTCCAGGCTCCATCATGATGCCAGTAAAAAAGCTAAAGTCTTTTTCTTCTGCTTGTGATTTTTATTGATGGTCAGTGAGCTGAATAAGCTAAGTCCATCTAAAACACCTCATCATATTGAATGATTTTCATCGTGCTGTTTCTTTAGAATTTATGCCCCGAAATGGACCGTTTCTTGCCACAGATGTGGGTTTTTCTTCATCCAGCAGGATGGAAATTCTTGCTGTTTTACCTGAAAGCATTGTTAGTCTTTTTACTGATCCCTTTAAGCAAGAAGAAGCTTGATATATCAGTGACCAAACCTGGCAACTTTGGAAAGGTCACCGAAGTTTTTGTCATCCAACACAGCCTTTTGCCTCAGCAGTTAATTGAGTGAATGAGCTTATCTAATTTGGGGATGAACTAGCAATGATCACTTAGGAGGAGCTGGATGTTCAGAGAGAAAAATCCTGCCACTCACCTTAGATGACAGCTCCTCCAGGGCACATTACAGGGGTGTGTGTGTGTGTGTGTGTGTGTGTGTGTGTGTGTGTGTGTGTGTGTGTGTGTGTGTGTGTGTGTGTGTGTGTGTGTGTGTGTGTGTGTGTGTGTGTGTGTGTGTGTGTGTGTGTGTGTGTACGTACAGGCCTTCATGTGCATTTGTGCATGCGTGTGTTTTTTGTGTAGGTGTGTGAGAGCATGCGAGTGCTTTTTTGTGTGTGCACGTGCATGCATGTGTGGGTGCATGCGCGCACGTGCTTTTATGTTTGTTTGCAAATGTATCTTTGTGTGTGTATGAGTCTTGGGGGGGGGGGGGCTCAGGGGTGATTTGTTTAGTTGATTTCTGAGTCAAATTAAAAGTCCAGCCTGTTAATTTGTGTTTAGCCTCCAGGTTGAGAGTCTGCATGTCTGATTCTTTCAGTTCTTTTTGCTTCACTTATATGAAGTGTGTGTATGAAATAATCAAATAATCGATGCATCGGGATGCGGAAATAAACTATTCTGCATCGTAGAAGAGTACGCCATAATCGATTATAGTGAAATGTTGTTTTGTTTTATTTAACGGCGGCACCAGCGCACCATCCACATCTGTCAGAGTGAGCGTCCTCCACGTTTACCAAGTGGTTCCACCTTTATGCGGTACTGCAGGGCTGAGCGATGGAGTTGTAACCTGAGACCGAACCGGAACCGAATCCGCCCGACCGGTTCTGTTGGATTTGGGCCATGAACTATGTTAATTGAGCAGGCTGTCACGCGGCGCCCTCCGCTCGCTCGCATAGCAACTGAGAGAGAGAGATTATTTATCCTGGAAGCGCTCAGTCAGACCGAGCGTTGTGAGGTCTGGAGATCCGGTCTTGGGGAGGGGGCGGGGTCAGTGACAGCAGCAGCAGCATAATCATCTGTTTCTTTTATTTATGGACACTGTGAAGTTAACAGGAGAGAGAAATAGAAGATAGAAGTTTAGTTCCACTTTATTCTTCTGTTTCATGATGATAAACTGATGTTAAATTCAGCTTAAAGAGAAGCTGGGAGGAAGCTTTGGTTCATTTTAAGTTACAGGAGGTCTGTCTCCTATCTGCTCCTCCAGAGACAGCATGGACATGAGGGTCACATGGTGAGGGTCACACAGGACAGGTTAGTGGAAAGGTTTGTAGTTAGCTGGTTAGTGAAGGAGATCCATCAGCTGGGTAATTTAATCCTAATCCAGCCCACAGCCTTCTGCTGGTGTTATTACAAGAAAGAATAAAACGCACATCTTAAATATTATTGGAGTGTAGAATTTGTTTTATTTTCTGCATCAAACAGAACTTGATTCATTCTCCAACATTTCAGAAATGAACCACTGGGTTCAAATAAAATAACAAACTAAGTCAAACATTTCATTTGGTGTTGCTTCTGACACCCTTCAACTGTGGCATAAATATTTGACTCTAGAGCTGCTCAGAGACATTAAACACTCATATATGAACCCATTATGAATTGTATTATTACATTATGTGTCCTGTAGGGTTTCAGTACTTTTTTAGATTTTGTGAGTTTTTGCAAAGCGTGTTTTTCTCAGCCTGAGGCGTGGTGTTGAACGAGGAAACAGATGTTTTACTTTGTTAAATTTTCTTAAATGTTTAAAATGTTTTGTCCTAACCTGTTAACGGAGAGCTTTTGAGGGATGGCAGGTTGTGTCAGTTATGTTTTTTATTAAAAATAAAAATAAATAAATGAAAGATAATAGCTTTTTATTTTTATTTATCGATGGAAACAAATTAATATCAAATAATCGGGATATTGAATCGAATTGAATCGTTGACCCAATAATCGTAATCGAATCAGGAGACAAGTGAAGATTCACACCTCTTACACACACATGTATGTCTGTGTGTGTGTGTGTGTGTGTGTGTGTGTGTGTGTGTGTGTGTGTGTGTGTGTGTGTGTGTGTGTGTGTGTGTGTGTGCACTGCTCACAAGAAATAAAGGAACACTTTTTTTAATTGGACCTGGCATGAAATCAATTAAACCTGTCTGATAATTTCCTGGTTGATTAAGCAGCTGAGGGCATTGTTAATCACTGTCAGCTGTATTGGTGTTCATGGACTTAACGACAGGTGCACTAAAGTCGCAACAATTACAAAACCCTCAAAACAGGACTGCTTTAACATGTAGAGGTCATTTCAAGTTTCTCCCTCTTGATCTTTTTCGGCTGGTTTTCCACTCGTGCTAGTTGTGGCTCTCTACTGGCAGCATGAGGCGATTCCTTAACCCTGCAGAAGTTGCACAGGTTGTCCAACTTCTCCAGGATGGCACATCCACACGTGCTGCAGCAAGAAGGTTTAATGTGTCTCCCAGCACAATCTCCAGAACATGGAGCAGATTTCAGGAGACTGGTGGTTATTCTTGGAGAGCTGGACAGGGCCGCAGAAGGTCCACAACCCATCAGCAGGACCGATACCTGCTCCTTTGTGCAAGGCGGAGCAGGCTGAGCACTGCTCGTGCCCTACAGAATGACCTCCAGAGGGCCACTGGTGTGAATGTCTCTACCCAAACAATCAGGAAGAGACTTCATGAAGATGGCCTGAGGGCCCAACGTCCTGTAGTGGGCCCTGTGCTCACTGCCCAGCACCGTAGAGCTCGACTGGCATTTGCTCAAGAACACCAGAAATCGCAAGTCCGCCACTGGCGCCCGGTACTTTTTACAGACGAGAGCAGGTTCACCCTGAGCACCTGTGACAGACGTGAAAGAGTCTGGAGAAGACAAGGAGAACGTTATGCTGCCTGCAACGTCATTCAACATGACAGGTTTGGTGGTGGGTCAGTGATGGTCTGGGGAGGCATATCCATGGAGGGACGCACAGACCTCTACTGCCTAGGAAATGGTGCTCTGACTGCCATAAGGTATCGAGATGAAATCCTTGAACCCTTTGTCAGACCCTACGCTTATGCAGTAGGTCCTGGTTTTCTCCTAATTCCCAGCCTCATGTGGCAAGAGTATGCAGGCAGTACCTGCAGGATGAAGGAATTGAAACAACTGAATGGCCTTTACGATCCCCTGACTTAAACCCAATAGAACATCTGTGGGACATTATGTTTCGGTCCATTAGGTGGCGCTAGGTTGCTCCTCAGACTGTACAAGAGCTCAGGGATGCCCTCACACAGATCTGGGAGGAAATGCCACAAGACACCATCCGTTGTCTCATTAGGAGCATGCCCCGACGTTGTCAAGCATGCACACAAGCTCGTGGGGGCCACGCAAGATACTGAAAAGCAATTTTGAGTTGGAGAAATTAAGTTTTTGAAATAAAGGACTAGCCTGCCACATCTTCATTTCACTCGGATTTTAGGGTGTCTACACAATTGAGCCCTCTGTAGGCTGATAACTTTTATTTCCATTAAAAGACTTGGCATCCTTTTGTTCCTAAGACATTGCCCTGTCGTTATTTGTATAGATATCCAACCTCATATTGAGATATGATGTATCTAATGTGTTTCTTTAAAGTGTTCCTTTAATTTTTGTGAGCAGTGTATAAATAAAGCATTAAGCTATCCTGAAACGAGCCACTAGGGTTGTTTGGACCTACTTTTGCATCAACGTCTAGATCCAGTCCTGTCTCTAATCTATACAAATGTTGATCATCTCAACTATTCTCCAGTTTATTGAACATGCTCTTTTATTCTTCCTCAGACATTCTCCTGGACATGCCTATTTTGACCCCAATGACTTCCTAGAGGGCATTCAACAGGACATTGAGCGTGAGGGGCTGGAATATGAGGTAAAACATCACCTATGTCTGGATTTACCCACTGGTTTCTCAATAAAAAAGATGAGTAAAGCTAGCGTCATCCTGCTTTCTCCACGCCGGCGGCGTGACGGATCATGATGGATCCTGGAGCCCTCACCCTGGTGGAGGGTGACATCTAAATCAAAGCCCAGACTTTATTAGGGCTGAATGTTTTTTTATATTATTATGTTTTAGTGACAGGAATTAATAAGTGTTCCTCTTTGGTTACACGGCGAAGGAGAGGTCTGGTGGGTAATTAGATGGAGCAGATAACAGAGCTACAGTGATGGATCTGATGATGCTAACAATGGCTGGATGATGCTGTGGTCTAACTGCTGTTGTTCACCTTCACTGACCTCCAACAACCCCACCACCCCCTCTTATTAAACCTCCATCACCTGCCGTCTGGTACTAATACTGTCTATTGAGCTGAGATCAAAGCAGCTAAGGATGAATAAACTGACCTTAGAGTCGTGGTATTTTGGATTAAAGAATACGTGAATCGTTATGTCAGGTGCGTTCAGAGCCCGGCCAGCGGGCCGTTAGCGGCCCTCAGAATGATTTAGTGCAGGCTGGAATTCTGGAAAAGTAGATTTTTACGCTGTTGTTGCAAATAGACACTTCCAAAGATAAATTCTTACTAAAACCCTCCAGCTTTATGGGGTTAACCCTTGCAGCTGCCCTCAGACCAGCGTCGCTCGTAACTATCTGTATCTGTAAGATTACAGGTGTTGACAAAGTGAAAAACGGCTCTCTGGCCGTCTGCGGGCCACAGCATCATTTCTCATGCTGTCATCGGGCCTCCGAGGAAAGCCGATGGCCTCCCTGCGTCCAGCTGAAAGATTCATTACAGTGATTGATGGGTCGCTGTTGCTCTCTTGGTCCCATTTCTCAGACAATACCTTCACTTTGTCTAGAATCACAAATTTACCAACTCACTGCTATTTTCTGCTTCACATTTATACTAATGTGAATATTTCCTTGTGTCTCACCAGGAGGTGGATCTGTACCGAGCCAACGTCCAGGACAAACTCGGCCTGACCATCTGTTACAGGACGGATGATGAAGACGAGGCTGGGATCTACATTAGTGAGGTAAATCGGTTCTAACGCTGGGAAAACAAGAACAAATGATTCCACCAGCAGGGACGATGTTCACACTCATCGTTTACCTCTTCACCTCAGATTGAGCCCAACAGCATCGCTGCAAAGGATGGCCGAATCAGAGAAGGAGATAAAATCATACAGGTGAGAGCATCTGTGCTTCAGTCTGGGCTGCTGCACAAACAGAAAACAACTGTTACAGTGTTGGAGGGAGAAGAAAAAACAACCCAGATGTATAGATTCTTCTTTTTCTGTGTTCATTAAGATAAATGGTGTTGAGATCCAAAATCGGGAGGACGCTGTGGTGCTTCTGACCAGTGAGGGCAACCAGAACATCTCTCTGTTGGTGGCCAGACCAGAGATCCAGGCAAGTAGCATGCTGTGTGTTTGAGTTTAGCAGGAGCTAATGGAAGCTAATACCGTGGAATATAACTTATTCTGGGAAGGGCGTGGTTTTTCAGGCAATTTTGTGTTCTTATGCCAACAAATAGAACAGAATAGCAGAGAAAAGCTTCCTCTGCCTTTTATCCATCCATCCATCCATTTTCAGCCACTTATCCGGGGTCGGCTCACAGGGGCACCAGCCTAAGCAGGAGGTCCAGACTTCCCTCTCCCCAGCCACTTGGGCCAGCTCCTCCAGAGGAATTCTAAGGTGTTCCCTGGCCAGCTGAGAAACATAGTCCTTCCAGCATGTCCTGGGTCTACCTTTATGTCTTCTCCCAGTTGGACATGCCCAGAAAACCTAACCTCAACTGGCTCCTCTCGATGTGGAGGAGCAGTGGGTCTACTCTGAGCCCCTCCTGGATGACCAAGCTCCTCACCCTATCTCTAAGGGAGAGCCCAGCCGCTCTGCGGAGTAAACCCATTTCAGCCGCTTGTACCCATGATCTCATTGTTTCGGTCACTACCCAAAGCTTGTGACCATAGGTGTGGGTAGGAGTGTAGATCAACCAGTAAATGTCTTCTGGTTCAGCTCTCTCTTCACCACGACAGAGCAGTACAACACCCGCATCACTGCAGATGCAGCACCAAGCCACCTGTTGATCTAACGCTCCATCTTTCCTCCACTTGAGGCAGGACCTCCTCCCTGACCCGGAGAAGGCATTCTACCCTTTTCCAACTCAAGACCATGTCTTCTATTTATTTATGATGGTTTCATTTATTCTAATGAGGCATTTTTCTTCAGCTGGACGACAGCTGGATGGACGATGACAGGAACGACTTCCTGGATGATCTCCACATGGACATGCTGGAGCAGCAGCACCATCAGGCTATGCAGTTCACAGCCAGCATGCTGGAGCAGGTACACACACACACACACACACAGAGTGTATTGAGCTTTAAGTGTCACAGGATTTCTCTTAGTTTTATTGATCTTCAGGACTATCTTCAGTGGCTGGTTTGCTGTTCTGGGGCATTCTGGTGTGTTACCACAATGCCAGTGACCTCAGAGGTCATTGGTGCGGTCTCTTTTAGAAGAAATCTGAAGTACAACACTTTTAAAACTCCTGAATTTCTTTCCGAGAGTCAACATTCCTGCTAGTTGACATGAATTCAGACATCACCATGACAAGAAAAAGGTTGAGAAGTAATCAATGTTTACAAGAGCTGAGCCAATATCTCACTGGGCTGAGACTAGTGGTGACCAGATGGCGCCAGGTGCCGATCCTTCCTTGGAATCACACTGAATTAACACTTCTGAAGTTTTATACCTATGGTGGAGTCATGTGGGGCGTACGAAGTAAACACATAAACAATTGTCTGTCGTACAAATTTTCTGGTTGCAACTTAACCCTCATTCTACCGACATTTAAGTCTCTAAACCTCCAGAGTTGCCTCACACCTCCTGTATTTTTTTGGTTTGTGGAAACCACCCTATGCCCCCGATGACTCTGCAACTATTTTGAGAAAATTTGTTTACCATAATTTTACAGTGTTTTTAAAACTCGTGACAACAGAACAACATTCTATGAATGAATGAATTTTATTCAGTCAGCATCATCAAAAGTAATTCATGTAAACAGAAACATATCCTACATATAGATACATATATGCCCTTACCTCCACAAACATATGAATGTATACACTTGCATATGGTATCTGCTGTAGTATCTACTCATTTCACCTACAATTGCATTAACTGTTGAACATTTCATGACTGAACATGTTTAGGCAGAAGCGTTGCCTAACCTACTTACTACACATCCACCAACTTTGAATTAATACTCTTCAAAACTATTTTTACTGATAAGTACTTTAAAAACTGAAAGTGTAGTTTCTCATTTAAATTCTATTTTAGCCTCATTCCTGAATGTTACTCCCATTATAGAGATACATCTCCTTTTAATACCTTTCTTGGCTTTCTGTACAATAAACATACAGACACCTCTTAATCATTTTTACTCTCCCTCCTTGCAAAATACATTTGTACTTTCTCAGGGAGAGACATTAATTTTGCTCTAAACATAATTTGCATAATTGTATAATAGTATAGAGCCTCTGTTTTCATAATCTGTGATTTTAAAAACATCAGAATGAGCATAATAAATACTCTTATTTATAATTCTAATAGCTTTTTTGTATAGTTTTTATTTTATTCATGTGTATTTTAAAGGTTGAACCCCATATTTCTATACAGTATGACATGTCAGGTTTAATTAGTGAGTTGTAAATAAAACGTAAAGTCTTGGAGTTTAACACTTTATTTAACAGTCCCACAGATTTTGTTATTTTTCCTTTAATATAAATTAAATGATGTTTCTAAGATGAATTAGAGTCAATCAAAACACCAACAAATTTTGTTTTAGACACTTTCAATTTCAATATTTGAACGTGTTCATTTGTCAAGGATTTTTTGCACCTGTTAAGTTCCCTGAATCTCTCACAGTGGGTTCAGGGTTCTTCACATGTGAAGGGACACACTCTTGACCTAGTTCTTTCCTCTGGTCTTCAGTCCATCAATGTGGGCACGTTGAGGCCTGTTTTCTCAGACCACTCTCCGATTTTATGTAATTTTAGTGTTCCGTCTCGGCAGATCCCAGCTTCTCTTCCTGAGAGGAGCAGTCGTGCCATAAATACGGCTAAGGCCGGGGACACACCGGACGCCGAAGCGCCGTGAAGCACCGGGAGGCGAAGCACTCACAAAATTTGGCCGCTGCTCCTCAGTTCAGACCAGACGCTTGTTTCTCCGCTCCGGTCGAAGCGCGCCTCGTAGTTTTTCTTTTAACCACTTGATGTCCTCCATTTCCTCTCTGTCTTTTCTCTGCTCTTTTCCTTGGTACCCCCCTCCCCCTTGCTGTTTGTGTGTGTGTTTATACCTGTGTGTGTGAACCTATGGTGTGAACCAGTTGTTAATAGCTGGCCTACGACTTTCTGCCTCTCTGTCCTGTTTGCTCCGGTTGAAAGACACCCAAAACCACAACCCCTTCACGTGGTCACACACAAGTTCGCTGTGTGTGTGTGTGTGTTTGAATGGTTTTTATGCAGTGTCTGTTTACGAACACATTTGACTATCGCGGAATTGTTTTTTGAAACAATTGCTTTATTTTGTTAAATTTATCAGCCTGCCTCTTATCTCTAGGTTTGACTTCCTGCGAGAATTGACGCGGTTCACCTGCAGCTCGCGAAAAAAATAGAGCAGACACCGAAACGATCGCTGTATGGTGCGGGCTGGGCGCGCAGCGCTTCGGTGGCCCATATGGTCTATAGAACAGGATAACAAGGGCACCGAATGAAGGCAGTCCCAATTTCGCAGCGCTTCGGCGGCCGGTGTATCTCCGGCCTAAGGTGGCAAGATTCAGTGAGGGCTTTTGTCTAGCAGGACAGGATCTTTTCTTAGCCCAGCTCCCCGTTGAAGAGTTTATTACTCGTTTTGATATGTTATGCACATCTGTTTTGGATGACGTTGCTCCCTTTAAGATTTGGAAAGGAGGGCATAGGGCAGAGCCGTGGATGTCTGATGAGACCCAGGCCTCCAGGCAGGCCTGCAGGAGAGCTGAGCGAAAGTGGAAGCAAGACAAACTTTTTCTGTCCTATGAAATTTATAAAAAGTCACTTTTGATTACCAGGAAGTGATACGACAGGCAAGGATCAGATAGTATGCCAACATTGTGGAATCAAATTCTCATGACCCAAGCACCCTCTTTAAGGTGATTGATTCAGTACTGGAAATTGCAACTTCTGATTCCGGGTCCACGGCTGCGATGGCCGGGACATGTGAAGATTTCCTTCACTACTTTGTGGACAAGATAGTGATATTCGGGCTGCTATTGTAGGCCACACTCCTGTTTTCGTGGCACCTATGCTACTTGGGGCAAACCTGCCAGCCTTTCAAACTATATCTATGACAGAGTTAGAGGAACTCATTTCTTAGCAAAAACCCTCTGCTTCCCCTTATTATGCTCTTCCCCCAAGGATGCTTAAGGAGGCTTTTTCTGTTCTGGCCCCATATATACTGGTTATCTTAAAAACCAGGCTGGCCTCTTGTGTGGTCCTCCTTACTTTTAAGAGGGCTGTTGTACGACCGCTGTTGAAAAAGAAGGGGATGGAGCAGGGCCGGATTGTCATTGCAGGATCCCCTGGGCACAATGTAGATTCCCCCCCCCCCCCCCTCCTCTTGACTCCTGTCTCCTTCCTCCTCTTGTCTCCTGTTTTCTTCTTCCTCTTGTCTCCTGTTTCCTTCCTCCTCTTGTCTCCTATCTCCTTCCTCCTCCTGTCTCTTGTCTCCTTCCTCCTCTTGACTTCCATCTCCTTCCTCCTCTTTTCTCCTGTCTCCTCTTGTCTCCTGTTGCCTTCCTCCTATTGTCTCCTGTCTCCTTTCTCCTCTTGTCTCCTGTCTCTTTCCTCCTCTTGTCTCATGTCTCCTTCCTCATCTTGTCTCCTGTCTCCTTCCTCCACGTCTCCTGTCTCCTTCCTCCTCTTGTCTCCTGTCTCCTTCCTCCTCTTGTCTCCTGTCTCCTTCCTCCTCTCATCTCCTGTCTCCTTCCTCCTCTCGTCTCCTGCCTTCTTCCTCCTCTCGTCTCCTGTCTCCTTCCTCCTCTCGTCTCCTGTCTCCTTCCTCCTCTCGTCTCCTGTCTCCTTCCTCCTCTCGTCTCCTGTTTCCTTCCTCCTCTCGTCTCCTGTCTCCTTCCTCTTCTCGTCTCCTGTCTCCTTCCTCCTCTCGTCTCCTGTCTCCTTCCTCATCTCGTCTCCTGTCTCCTTCCTCCTCTTGACTTCTGTCTCCTTCCTCCTCTTGTCTCCTGTCTCCTTCCTCTTCTCGTCTCCTGTCTCCTTCCTCCTCTTGTCTCCTGTCTCCTTCCTCCTCTTGACTCCTGGCTTCTTCCTACTCTTTTTGTCTCCTTTTGTGGGTCTACTCTCTTGCCTTCAGAAAAAACTGCTTTCTGGCCTTTCTATTAGTAAATTCATTTACAGTGTCATCAAAGTCCAGATTCCTGACAAGCTGAAATTCAATAGCCATCAGTGACAGTGCACTGAGGCGCTATTGAGTTTGTGTTGTTCTCAGTTATTTTTTTATTCTTGCCATTTGTGCAAATGATCGTTCCCCTTCACAATTTGTAACTGGTAGAGTTAGAAAAATCAGCAGGGCCACAAACACATTAGGGAAGATGGACTAAAGACTATTTTTTAGCCCGAAAAAGATCCTGGTTCTACTTATATTACATTATCTATGAGGACTCTCTGGAGATTATTTAGAGTTAAGAAGCGCAGAGCTCTGATCGTTGATGCGCTCCAGACAGATGCGTCCTGAGCACGGCCACAGTAACATTCTCAAAGTGTCACCACCTCAAAAACAAATTTAACACGAGACCATTTATGTCGGCTCATATCCTTTTATGTTTTCTGTCTTTTATTTGTGTCTGATGCGTTTCGCTGCTGCGGAGCGGAGCGCATCACCTGTTTCGTCCTCCGATAAATTCACCTCACTGGTGCAGTCTGTGCGCGGAGCACACTCGTCTATTTTTGCGGTCGGTAGATCTTTTTGAACTGCAGTTCAAAGGTAATTCATGAGGTGAATATATATGAAGCCAGGTAGCAGTTTTTCTTTAGGATTGAGAGGAGATGCAGGAAGATAATAAACAGACACAGGACAGAAAAATAGTCAAATGAAAACAAGTTATTTTTTTGTACCTGGTGGTTGCAACAAACAGACACAATTGAAGTTAATCAGAAGTGAGGAACAGAAAATGAAATGATTCTTTCAATGTTTAGATCAGCAGGAACTCTGAGAGGCTGCAGGCACATCAGAGCGTTTGAGGCTGCTGCACAGAGGCAGGGGACTGGAGCAGGGGAACAGTTAAGAAGCAG